ATGTTCCTTTGGTTCAGTTTATTAGTTTAAATGGGTTACCTGTGAATTAATGAATATATTATTAAACGAATTTCCTAAAAGTAACTTTTAATTTATGTTTTATTAGATTAATAATTCCTTCTCATTTCGAATTTTATTACGCGCTTAAATATTTAATTTTGACTGAAAGTCAGAATAATATTATATAAAATTTAAAATAAATTAATTCTGCCTACTAATGATTAAAACAAGGACAAACCACGTCTTAAAATCGTACCTTTTACATCAAGTTCGAGGCGTTAAGTAACTGTCAGACTACATCTGGTTTAAATTAAATCACAAGCGAGAACGAATTATCTGTAGGCATCTTAAGGAAAGAAAAAGAAACTCGTCTCGCGTGGTAGTTGAGTCGATGGAAATTTTCTGGGGTTATAGAAGGTAAGGGACAGGTCGACGAAAGACGGATCTTTGCGTTCGTGAACACGAGAAAGAAAAGTTTGTCTGCAGAACAGAACAGAGATATAACTTATAAGCCCTCAATTCATACACATAGGCGTGCAGGAGATACGTAAAGAGAAGCCGCAAAGGGTGCTTCTCGGATAATGGAGAGGGTAGAATTTGAGAATAAAAGTCCCATGTGATCAGTCTCACGTATGTCATCTACCCTGACAAGAAAGAAGGACGCTTAGTTAATTGATTGTAGCAAAATAGGTCAAATACTTAGCCAAGTTTGTTTTTAGTCTGCGATAGCTTTTATATTTTTACTTACACCTGACCCACTGTGGCGAAATCGAAGAGGTCAATAAGCGTGATGAAGACTATTGAATTATGTAGTCCACCATCCCGTGGTAACGACCGATAGGTCCGAGCCTATTCTATGTCCATTCTGATGCCGTTGGAACCCTTACTACCGCTACAGAGAGCCGTATCTATATCTCTGTTAGATTTCTCAATGCCCATGGTTCAGAACGAGTTGATTCGTCATTTTCCAAGTGGTATTTGGTTGGCCAGCCCCTTGTCGTTCCAAGCTACCCCAAAAGGACTACATCGTCCACCTACGTCGTTTCGCTGGTTGACCACCCTTTAATGTATCAGCTATTTTTTGTGTTAATTCAATCCAATCGTGCTTCACTTAAAAAATCTTGCTAACGTTATTCATTTATCTTTGTACTGCTCTTGGAATTGGATAGGTGGACGATAAGCACTAACACTTGATTTAATCAAGTTTTATAACCTGAACAACTGTTTAGAATAGGCTTACAATAATTTAACTACCTAAAAATTGTTTTGGAAGATGCGGCTGACAGGGGAATTCTGACATTCTGATTAATTCATTTCGTTTTATTATCAATTTTAGTATGTTTGCCTTCTTGATAATAACTACCTTAATGCTAAGGTATACAAATATTTCTTATTTGCACATTGGAGTTTTTTAAGTATTTTACAACCAGTCAACCACAGAAACATTGAATACTATAAGAAGAATTTGTTTGATGATCAGTTTAACATTAACTTCTGTTGCAGTATCAATTTAATAAATCAATTAATGAATAAAAGTGTAGAAGGTGAATTAAAAATTTACCAAGATATTAAAAAACGGACTTTTCAAATACAAAATCGACAAAAAGTAATTTGATGACCGTATTGAAAGCATAAAGGGCGACAGAAGAGCTTATATTAAGATTACATTTGACGCGATAAAATGCGAGAGAAAATCTGCATAATTAGATTCAGAAAATAAGTGATGAGGAAAGAATGACTAATCATAAATCATCCAGATTATAATGGTTAAAAGTCTTTCAATTGCTACAATCACGACAACTTCTGAATTACAAAAAATTAGATGTAAACGCTGTAGATTAAAAAATTGTACTAATAAAAATGAAAAGCAGGAACAAGAGTTAAATGTAATTTGTTGAGTACAATCTTCTTTGTATTAGATATTTCAAAACATTTTATTGTTGGTTACGTTATAGGTAATTCAGTCATTTTAAAGTTTTTGACGTGACAACGTCTTATAATTCGATGGAGCCGGCTGCGCGCACGAAAAAACATGACTCATGCGGCGTTACCTCGCTATGAGGCGTTCCATTTAAGGCTTGAAGTGCAAGCGAGAGCGCGGAAAGAGCGACAAAGAGGCACAATCGGCCTCCGCGTTCGGCAGCGTTCGACATCTGTCTCTCTCCTACTTGAGTGAGCGATGCGTCCGCGTGGACAGCTGCTATACAATAATACATTTCCATTTACCTCTTTCTCTATATCCATACAAAATATGTATCAAACAAATAAAATTAAAATTTTCTTTTGAAAAATGAAACCATTCCATCATTATTTTCTTATGACGTTGTCACGTTCAATTATCGTCAGTAAACCGACTTTACAGACAACCGATTTTTTTTAAATTAGCAAAGAAAAGAAAACTTGTATATCTTACTGTGACCACCCTTGCCCAGATATTACAAAAACTAAAAGACATTTTTGTAATTATCTTTTTGAAATATTTATTAACTACTTCGTTAATTTTTGTTTTAAATTAAATCATCTAATTATATTTTTAAAAATCACAATAATTTTCTTGTTTTATTTTGCTTCTTTTTGAATCATTTAGTATTTTCATTATTTGGAGTACAGTCAAAGCTGGGTAAGGGGGAATTCAAGGGACCCAAATATCTATTATTCTCACTTATACAGGTTAATAAAAATCGAACATAAACATGGCGCTAAAGCGTTAAGAAATAGGTAATACATAAGTATATACAGATTTGGCTATAACTAAGTACTTCTTTTATTTATTTAAAGAAATCAGTTCATTTTTTTGAGTATCCTTTTTACAATTTTGAATATGTTTTTCAATTTCATAAATCTTATCAAAAATGAAATCACCTTAATTTTTCGCTTCAACATTTTGAGGAAACAACGACAAACATACTTTCTCCAATGATTGTTATCAACTGAAACCAAATGTTGAGGATGAGTACCATGAGCAGGTAGAAGCAAGCGCATAAGTGTGTTGCAGATGTCTAGTAGTTGTGAGCAATTTCGCTTGCAGAGGTCTAGAGTAAGAAACTGTATACAGGTTTTCGGGGCTAAAAATGACGGAACCTGACTATTTTTGCTTATAAAGTTTTCTCACTTATCCAATTTTCGCTTATGCAGGTTTGACTGTAATTCCAATATGTTTAATAGTTAGTAATTTATGTTCCTTTGTCAGGTAAACAATTTCTTTTTATTTATAATTTTGTTCCGCAATTAAATTTTAAATGTTAACATATTTCATACTGAATAACGAAAATGATATAATTTTAACACAACTTTTTTCTGCTAATAAATGTAAAACATGAATTTTGCATTAACTTGTGTCCGCCCGAACCACCTTATGTTTGCGTACGTGTTGCCTGAAGTTGTTCATTTATCACGGGAGTATAGTTATGGTTGCTAGTATTGCTTTTTTTATGGCGGACATGCCAACTTAATGAATATCGCCCTGTTCATTATTTTGCGAGAAATGTCACCAAGAGTTCTATAGAGAGTACAGCTTGACAAGAATAGGAAGAAGATTCAGTTAGAAACGTTTGTGCTCGGAAGAAAGATAAAGAAAGTATTCGGAGGAGGAAGGATGACAGAACAATAAAGATTTCTCGCACATCTCTAAACATGGAGAATTAAGTAGATACAAATTAAAAAAACAGATGCAACTCAGTATATGTGAAAGAAGTGAAACTTCTATCGCGATCCCTATACCTTTATAACGAATAAGTAATGATTGGTGAAAGAGAGAGTACGAGCATTTTCGGGATTTATGTTTTCCAGCATATTTTATCTTTAGTCCACCAAAGGAGTATTACTTTAATACGTTTCTATGTAATTCAATAACAAAAAAATGCTCAATTTTTTTTCGCTTACGTTTATTTTTCCAAATGCTTAAGAAGCCGTAAACTATCAATAACTGCATGGAATTAATATTAACACATAACAATACTCACTCTTAAAGAAATATTAATTGCTCTTAACTAAGCAGTTAGTGTAATATAGCTGAATGAAATACCGATATGCGCATCCGCGCCTTTCTATTCTTATAGCCTATCGCGTCGCGATACAAAACGTTGCAAAACGTGTCGTTTCACGTCCTTGAGATTTTACTCCCATCGAGCCCAAAGAAGTTTCACTTCAAAAATCATTAAAGCTTGTGGTGAAATAAAGCAAACACACATGTGGCTTTAAGAAAGCAAACTGTAATAACAACAGTAAAACCAATATCAACAGCAAAAACAATAAAAAGACACAAATAAAAAGAACCAACAGGACTAACTGTGGTGCGCCCGTACGTTATCTCGTCAAACGGTCGAAGAGAAGTGACTTACCTCGCTTCCACAAGCGTTCCGTTTACCGCGTATCCATAGGCGGAAACAATTCACACTTCTTCCTACTTGTGTCTACCTGTTTGGATAAGACTGTAAATGAAGAGTAAAATAAAGACGCACATGCAAAAACACGAGATTCATCATACATCCGCTAGGGATTCGAACAACCAAGAATAAAAGCTTCAACTGAAAGAATGTATTTCGCAGTTACTTATATGATAGCTAGACCTTTCTTTGAATTATAACAGTGCAAACGTAGGAGCTGTTTCCAAATCCCGCTTAGTTAAACCTTCCGGTCAATTTGGTAACATTTACGGTTACGAAATTTTAAGGTAAATACGCCAGTTATAAATAGCTGATTAAAGCTTCTCAAGCTACAGAAACATGACTAAATGATTCAAAAAGAAGCAAAATAAAACAAGTAAAATTATTAAGTGATCGTTGTTCATCTACATAATACCAAGAACAAAACAGGGAGAAAAGGAAAATATTTCCATTTCCATAAGGGCAAAACATTAGTATGCTTAGATTTGCAGATGATATAGTAGTATCAGCATCTAGCAAGGAGGACCTAGAGATAGCTTTAAATAAAATGGAAGCGGTACTGACAGATCAGTACTGTATGAAAATAAATAAAAGTAAAACTAAAATACTGATATGCAAGGGAAGAAAAAGTAGGGAAAGAGCGAATATAAAGATAGGAGACGAAAAATTAGAAGAAGTGGCTGATTTTAGATACCTAGGAAGTCAGATAAGTGAGGATGGAAGGAGTAGTAGGGATATAAAGCAGAGGATAGCGCAGGGTCGTGTCGCCTTTAATAAAAAGAAGTCACTTCTATGCTCGCGAACGGTTAATTTAAAAATTAGAAAAAGGTTGTTAAAGGTGTATGTTTGGAGCACGGCATTGTACGGGTGCGAAACATGGACAGTGGGAGCGGCGGAAAAGAAAAGGTTAGAAGCGTTCGAAATGTGGTGTTATAGGCGGATGATCAAAATATCGTGGGTAGAGAAGGTAAGAAGAATATTAGAGGCAGAAACAGGAGTTAGGAGGGGTAGAGGTAGACCTACATTAGATTACTGTTCGCGAATAGTAAAGGATGTACCGTTGGAAACCTCTCGAAAAACGAAGAACGAATATGACGTTAAGTAAAGGTTCCTTTGAATTTTCTAGAAGTTACCACCGGTCATAAGTTTTCTCAGCAAACCATATATCATTAGAAAGCTCACAAAGAAAGAATAATAAATCCGAAGAGTGGATGACCTTAATAGGTTGTATATCATTGTAAAAGTGAAGAAGGAAGAGCGACTTTGCTAGATTCGAGGCACATCATAGAACTCTCAAGAAGAAATTAAAATATTTCATGCTTTGCATGTTACAACCAGGGGGTACCAAAGTAAAAATGGAGGAGCAAATAATGATTGTAAAATTAGATATAAAGATGAAGTAAGAAGAAACAAAAATGGGACAAGAAGAATTAAAAATAGC